ACCACGGGAAACCTGGAAGTCGTGGACGAAGCAGCGCGCGAATATTATGAGCACACGCCGCAACGCCAAGCGCAAGACCCTAGGTGGCCAGGGTGCAAAGAGCATCATACCCTTCGAGCGCGACCTCTTGACCTTCATGAAGGACGTGCGGCGCGACGAGCACATACTGACCTCGATGCACATGATCAACTTCATGAAGACACACTACCAGGAGTGGCTGACTGGCTACATGGCGAACAAGGTCGATCCATACAAGTCACTCCTCGGCTTGTGTCAGTCGTTTGCCCACCGCCACAGGTTCTCCCAGCGTGTCCCTTGCCACACGAAGCTGCCCAATGCCGAGATGGTCCAGATCCGAAACGACTTTGCGGCAACGTTCTGGGGCAAGTACGCCGTGTACGAGCTCGGCGATCTCATCAACGTTGACGAAACGGCGGTCTACTACGACATGCCGCCGGGGAAGATCTGGGCGGAAGTTGGTGGATCGTCCAAGACGGACAAGACGCAGAAACACTCCGATCGCATTACCGCAGTGCTGTCGTGTCGTGCCGACGGTACCAACGACATACTTCATGGTCTCATACCTGTAATAGGTGGCAAGTTGCCTATATTTTTCATCGTTCACGGTACACCAGGAGGCACCATCGACTCATCGGAGCTGTGCACGTACCCTGAAGGCCACCACTACGCGGTGCAAGAATCAGGGTGGATGGATGGACGCGTCTGGCGCAAGTACTTGAAGATGTTGCCCCCGCATATTTTGGGCCCTAGTGTCATCCTCGCCGACAATTTCGATGCCCATGTGTCCAAGGAGTCCGCGGTGGCGATCGCTGAGTACCTGCACAGTGTGTTGGAACCACTACCGGCAAATTGCACGAGCGTGTGCCAACCTCTTGATGTTGGGATCATGGGTCCCTTCAAGAAGATCCTCCGTATGTTGTGGCTAGAAGAAGCGCCGGTGGTGTCGGCATCCGAGAAGCGCATGGCCATGATCAAGCGATCGATCAAGGCCTGGGGCATGATTTCGGAAGTTGCCGTAAAGCGGTCCTTTGAAAAGGCTATTCCACGACCTGAGATAGTAGTAGTTTAATTGTGTTTTATGTGAATACAGTTCATCCATCGACGTCTTGTGTAATATGTTGTTGGTTCTCTCGTGCGCTGTTGGAGGGTTGTCGAGGTAAACCCCCCTCCTGAATCATCATCGATTGGCGCTATTTTCGAGGAGTGATTCGTTGATTTGGTCTGATTCGCGACATGTCAGTCTGTAACGTTACAATTGTTTTTGTCCAATCATTGAAGGGCACTGGGTTTAGTGTTTTTTAATTTTACATTTTGTCGCTCCATATATAAGGACATGCATACCCGGGTGAGTTTCTCCCCGGTTCTCTGTATACGTAACACGGTATATTCATACCAGAAAAGACTTCTTTCATGTCCTCAGGGATGTAAAGATTGCGTTATTTATACAGACTTTTGATAGCACTGCGATAACTGCTGAGTGTGCCGGGCTGAATCGCCAGCTTGGTGCGCATAGCCCATACCAGGAAGCTGAGAAAATCGTTTTAGCTGAATTCACTGAGGTCGAGGGAATAGCGACATGCTGACTCGATAGAATCTCGAAGCAGATTGTCCTTGTTCACTAACTTGGCCATTCAACTACTTAATTGATGCCCGACGCATAACCTGTTCGAGTGTCCCCACTGATCCTGTTGCAATGTTCCTCGATCGTGAAGCTGCTGCGGGTGGTCATTTCTGATAAAAAGATGCAATGAGAAACAAAGAATTCTATTGGCTTGGTTTACTTCATTTCTTTGGCTTATAAATGGACAAAAGATTCGCAAGGCAGCTCGCCATGCGAATGTTGCAAACAGATGCATTAACGAGAATTATTTATATTGTATACAATTAAGAAGAGACCTTGCTGTTAATAGTATATTCACTATATTAATATGTGTCGGACATACTTGTGTATTGTAAATACCCGCATAAGAACAATCAGCCTTACAGTAACGAGCGACGAAAGAGCATCCGACCACAAAATTATACACACGGCCTAGCTAGCTGCGGCGCACGCAATTTTGGCAGGAGGTGCCTTGGCGAGGAGTGAGCCCCAATCGTGCACTTCACGGAATGTCCAATAGATTCCTCTTGGCGGGAAAAGCGGCAGGTAGGCCGCATGCCGTGCTGCTACCCGAACAAGGCATGTTACAAGTATTCGCATTTAATACATAAATCCGTTTAAGTGCGTGTGCGAAGCAAATCTTTGAAGTAGTATCAAGCTAATCCGAGTCGTTATGGTAGAATAGTGGGTCATCTCCGACCTCACTTGATATTTGTATGAGATTAATTTAGCCAAACACATAATTCTATTTCTGTTCTAGCCAATCATGTCACACTTAGTTTAATTTCTATCAATCCAATTACTAAGTTTTTAGGGTAGGGTTAGGTTGGTCATTCAGAATGGCCATCTATGAATAATCCGTTGGACCTTTGTGGCATTATGGGTTATGTCCATACGTACATCAAGTTATACTTATCATGGTGAAATAATACAACAGGGTCGGACCCCGATACTTGAGGACTTCAGAAACCGACGCAAACTTTATTTTGAGCTGGTGCCGGCTCAAAATTATCCGTCGAATATATGATTAATATTAACTACAGTAACATGAGGCAAAGTGATATCCACAGAAACCGGCGCAAATCTCTATTCTTTGATTGGTTCACATGTTGGTGGCGACGACCAATCCTTTGGCATGGGACCGAAACGACGAGGGAATAGATGGACCCCCAAAGAAACGCTAAGCTTACTCGACTGCATCGAGAGACTACGTACGGCTTTGGTCGCCCCAGCGGATTTGGACGCGGTGCTTCCGCACGTTAGTATGTAGGGTGTAGCCGATAGCTCGCCAGTAGAAGGTGAGGGAGGGCAGGGAGGTCCCATTTGCATAGTTCGCCAGTGTTGAGGCGGAAGGGTTGAATGATGCGGAGGGCGTCCGGTTTACTGGCTTATGCTGCAGGCCATTCATACCTACTATAAACTGCACCAAGCCAGGGGGCAGTTTCGCCAGTGACCGGCAGGTCATGTTCATCGCGAAGTTCCCAGGAGTCGGGAATGGTGGGCATAGTGGGTGAGAGTGGGCAGTGGACTCGTGTGTCTGTGCGTAGGCTCCTGTGAGGATTGATTTGCGTGGAGGCGGAAGTACGTAGTGGCTGCAGACGAAGTGGGATGGGAGTGGCGTGTCTCATGCATTGGGATGGCATGAATATGTAATTGGGGGGTCAGGGTGGGCTAGTGTAGCGAGGGAGTCAGCTTCCGCAAGGAGGACTTGTTTAGCACGCAGGACGGGGTCCGGCGTGTCGGTTATGTCTTGATGGTAGCGTATCTATTCACTGCAAAAGTGCTCGCTGGGGTGAGGAGGGCCATGAGCGAGCGGAGTTCCACTCTGTAAATGTTCCTATAGCGGGATTGCCCTCCACGGCGTTTGAGAGATCTGGCCAATATGACAAGGCCTATGGCCGTGGTATTATCGCAGATTTGGAGCAATGCATCCCCAGAGGCTGTGTACTTCACAGCATGTGGGGGTGATGTGGTCGGGGTGGACATTAATGGGCTCTACAAGGGTGGTATCGTCGCGGCCTAAGTAGCTCCATGTGCCATGAGCTGTTCGTGTGTCCTGGTGCGTGACGCTGCCGTCGCCGACGGAGTGTGTGAGGGCACCGCGAAGGGGGAGGGTATGGAGGCCGTACGTGGGGTGGAGTGGTGTAGAATATCCTGGCGTACCGAATACAGACAGTATGGTGCCATTGCCCGCAGTCCATACAGACGGTAGTGTCCGCGATGCGGTGGCAAGCAGTACATACAGGTGTGGTATGTGGGGGAGGTTGTTGGTCGTGTGGGAGCTGGGCCTTGTTGCAACGATGTATGGAGTGCGTGCACGGATGTGTCCATGACGTGTCTGTCCAGGGGATAAACTTGAGGCGTTGGATGCGGCTGGTGCGGAGGAGGTCGCCAGTGAGGATCGCACACCCCGCACTAGGGACCAGGCGAAGTCGGCTGGGGGCTTCGCGTGATGTAGATGAGTACCAGATGTCCGATCCTTTTCGGAGTTCATGCCAGGAGGTGACGGCGATTTCAGGGCCAGCAGGAGTATGGCGAGTTTGGAGACTGATACGTCGGCCAATGCGGTAGCTAAGTGTATCAGGTCTACCATCCCGATGGGTAAGGTGGTGGGGGACACAAGCATGGCATGGAGAGGGACTTTGTTGGCGTGAGCGCAGTTGATGGAGATGAGGGAAGTGCCGTGGGCTGGGGTGAGGTGAGCCCAGATAGGGCGGTCGTTGGGATGGTGGGGACTGCTAGCGGGGGGTGGTGCCTTTGGGTGGTGATGGTGAGGGCGGGTTTGAAAGTAGCAAGGTCTCGTAGTAGTGTACCTAGAAATGCTGTGTCTGAGGCGGGTGGGGGGATGCGGAATACAAGTGGGTGGTCAGTTAGGCCGCTCTCAATTTGGTAGGCCTCAAGGGATTCCATGAGGATTTCGTGGGCGGGCGAGCCACGGTCATTTGCAATCCGAAGGAATTGATAGAGTCGTTGGCTGTGGCTGAAGCGTTCACAGTGGACGATACCCAAGCCATATGTATGGGCGTAGAACCATGAATTTGGATGGTCGTGCGGCAACCGGAGGACACGGCGTGTCGTCTTACGGAAAAGGGTGTCGAGGGCAGGTGCAATATTGATGGTGTCGCTGATGGCCGTGCGGAAGAGGACACTTGGAATCCACACAGCGTTGATGTATTGGAGCTCTCTTTTCCCCAGCCCGCGAGGGGCAATGGCAGGAGCTTGGGTGTTGAGTTTGAGCCAGACGGTACGAGTGGTCTTCTCCCATTGGTTGTGGTATGCCCAGGTGCCGAAGGCCTCGGAGGGCGCCACCACACGGATGGGTTGGGGGTTTCCGAGCCCATCATTGAGGGTGATGGCAGGGTAAGCGTGGGGTGAGAGGTAGAATAGGAATAATTTGTCGGCTCCGAAAACGCCTCCCGATGCAGATTGGCCTGTGAAATAGTTGGAAATCTTAGCCCGGTCTTGGATGACCGAGTAGGAGGTGGAGATGTCGAGTGCGTCGTCGACGAAGAGGAGGCTGGAGATGGTGCGTGTTTGGGTGCCTTGTGGGTGTTAGCTGTGAGTGACATGGACGGGGTCAGTGCCACCCTGTTGTTGTCGTATGAGAGCATCCATGTAATAGCCAATGTGTATGACCGCCAGTATGGAGCCCTGGCCTAGTCTGAATTCACGGATGCCCCCGTCGAGCCATCCAAAGACCGTGCGGATGTCAATCTGGCTGGCTTCAAGAAAATGGTCCATGAGCTGGCGAGGAAGGGATGGGACACCGAGCTTGCGGTAGATGTACTCCATGACCCAGCCTGGATGCGATCGAAACATTTTAAGCAATCCTTGGATATAAGGAAGAGCTCTTCCTGTCGTCGTTCTGCGCGTTCGATGAGGAGTGAGGTGAGCACAGCTGCATCTTGGACAGTGCGGTCCCGCTGAAATCCGTTTTGCATCTCCTGATTGAGTAAGCAGGGGGAGATGTAATCCCGTATAACGGTGAAAATTCGACTGTTGAGGGCAGTCTGAACAATGATGGGGCGCCAAGGAGGAAGACCAAGGTCGAGGTTTACCACGCCGCGGGCAATGGCCGATTTGGCGAGGTATATCATCTGCTTGTGTTCGAGGATCGGGGGGACTAGGCATGTGCGTAGGATAAGGTTAATGACGGTTCGTTCCCGTTCACGGATGCACGCCGAGGCAGAAATCCAGAGTTCCTGGGATACACCCCCATAACCTGGGGACACTCTCGTATGTAGACTGCGGTCACAGCGTGCTTGCATATCTGCATCGTAGTGATAGGTGGTGTCCCATGTGGTGCCCGCGGGAGTTTGGAAGGCCTGCGCAACGACGGACGTCTGGGCGATCCATATCATGGAGGAGGCAGTCACTGACAAAGTGGGGCCTTGGAGGCGGTCGGAGTGTATCTAAGTGTCGAGGGCGGGTGGTTTTTTCAGCGGGGGGGGTCCAGTTGTCTAGCAGCAGTCGGAGTCCTGTTCGGAGTCTGCTGCAATGCAACCTCTTCCTGGTCCGAGCTGTAGCGGGGGAGGACATCTGCAGGACGGATTATGACACTCTGGATGGAATGGGTGGAGTGGGTGCTCCGAGTGCTGATCGGAGGAATTTCCGCGTTTGGCGGCCTTGGAACCATGCGGTTCGTTGGTGCACGCGGGTTTGTCGGATGCAGGTGGTACGCCAGTCGCGCCTTTTGCGACATACATTTTTCCAGCGTGCGATGCCCTGTCGTAGCCAGCGGTCCCAGTCTTGGGTGGTGTCCTGTGCAGTGGGCATGTCAGTCCACCAGTCACCGATCGCTATGGCGCCAAAGCTGTGCCAGCACGTGGACGGGGGAAGGTTTGGAATGCGGATCCATTTGGGCAATTCCACCATGTGGGCAAGTCGGAGATTAGATATTCGGCCCCTGTTGGGGTTACGGTTTCATGGATGCTGAGCAGGTAACGGAGCTGTGCAGTGCACCGGTTGGTGCGTTGGATCGCCACTGCCCTGTTGAGGGCCTTCCGAATGTGGCTGGTTTCCCCCCACTGGATTTTGGCGCTGGTGTATAGGATATCGTAGAGATTTTGGACCGACGCCTCGAGCCAGTCGGTGGTATCTTGCGGAGACTAAGTCGTGGCCGCATGGGGGGTTCCGTAATTAGGGGGGTAGGTGGCCGTCAAGGAGGAGTTGAGAGGTGTGCGGACCGAATGTGGTGATGTCCCCCTTCGTAAGGGAGCGTGTGGGCTTGACACCTGAGAGGCGCGAGGGCGTGTGATCGCCTGGGCAGAGGGCTAGGTCCATGAAGGGGGTGCCAGCATGATCACTGAGGTGGATGGTGTGAAGCCAGATGCCGCTGGCACTT